GGGCGCCGCGTGGTGGAGGCGATGCGCCACCCCGACGTGGGCCTTGTGCGGCTTCTCGCGGCCCGGGCTGGGGTGCTCGGCGCTGCTGCGGTCCGAGGCGATCGGGGGGATGACCAGGGGCCGCTCCTTGATGAGGTGCACGTCGGCCGACTCCCGGGCCAGCAGAAACGGGGTGGGGTCAGGCATGGCATCCACGGGCTCGCGCAGAAGGAGCTTCCGGCCCTCGGTCCCGAAGCGGTAGACCTCCTCGAGCTCCGGGTGCAGCGGGGCCGAGAGGCTCTTTTTCATGCGGCGGCGGGGCGTCTCGGGCAGCTTGTCCTTGGGGGGCGCGGGCTTGTAGGGGGCCAGGCCCGGGGGGCCCGGCCGAGGCCCCGCTGGAGCTGAGCAGCTTCTTCCTGGCGGCGTGCAGCTGCGACGTCAGGTAGGCGACGGTGGCGGCGCGCTGCTCCAGCTCGCCCGACAGCAGGTTCAGCCGGTGGCTCTTGGCCTTCAGCTCCTCCAGGTACTTGCGCTCGCGCTCCTTGATGGTGTTCTCCAGCACGGCGATCATGGCGTTCTTCTGCTCCAGCTCCTGCCGCAGCTCGCCGTGCTCGCGCTCGCGGGCCTGCAGCTGGGCTTCCAGGTCTCCGCACCGCTGCTTCAGGTCGCCGCTCCTGGGCGCGCCGTCTCCTGCCGGAACAAGCCCAGGGAGCCGCTGAGGAGCCCGCCGAGCGAGGCCCGGGGGGCCAGACCCTCTGCGGCCGACTGGCCTCAGCCCCCTGGGCTCGGGCACTGAGGAAGGGGTGCACAAGGGCCACACGGCAGGCAGGGTGGGGTCCCCACTAGCTTACTAGAGGGTGAGTGAGCAGGTGGTCTCCAAGGAGCCACCAGAGGCCACTGCCTTACTGCAGAGAAGGTGGTCTCAATTTGTTTTTTTAAGAGATTTTGCTGCAGGGCCCCTGCGATCACTGGAGGGAGAGAGAGACAGCGAGAAATGATCCCTCAAGGGGGTGGCCATGCCACAATCCTTTCTCCTTCATTCTCCTTTTAGGATCTTGGGTGCCCACATATGCGCATGTGCCCGGTGTGAGTTTAAGCCACCAGGTCCAGGACTTGAACCACGGTTGACTACGTGGGAGTCCACTGACATAGCCATTACACCATCTGCTGGTCCCTGTCTTGAAATTTTTTTAAATGCTGACATTAAAATGGGCAATTTCAGAGCCTCAGCCCTTACCAAGTACGAAGTGGTCTTCACAGAGTTCCTTACGGAACAGCCATGCATATATGGCATGGGTTTAGGTTTTCACACCAAAATAACCTGGTGCTTTAATTCCACTTTTCACCACCTTTCTGAAGTCCCTTCATATGTAGGGCTAAGCTGTTAGCAAATCCAGGTCTCGAGGCAGGTGGTGTTTGTTAAATGCTGCCACGCTGTGTGTGAAACTCAGGTCTGCGTTTAAGCGTGTCCTGTCCGTGGCACAAACACTCGAGCCGGGGAGCAGGATGCCAGGCCATGCCCTTCCCAGCCACTGGTCTCCTTCCGCTCCTGCTCTGAGCACCGGCGTCCTGCCCCTGCCTGTGTGGCCCCAACTCCATAGGCCGCTCTCCGCTCCTGCTGTCCCCAGAACACCTGCCCTAACCCTGGCCTCCAGCAGACGTCAGCTGCCTCCACCTCCGCTTCCCGGTGACCTGCAGGCCCCTGGCTGGCCTTCCTGCTGGCCTGGCCTGGGAAGTCTCTGAGCTGCCCTCTGTTTTCTAGACTCTTCCTCATTGGCCCAGGGCTCCTAGGTCTGTGTCTCCTGAGCACCAGCTCCATGTGGTGGTCCCTCTGGCATCTGCTTGCCCACCTGCCCACCTTCCCATCACAGCCCGCACCACTCGCCCCTGCACCCCATCACCCCGCGGTCTCGGAGGATGGGCTGCAGCAGGCTTGTGTCCCCTCGGCCCCGCTCCTGCTGCCCTTGGTCCCGCCTCTCCCTGGCCTTCCTTCCCACCCACCCTCGGTTCAGGAGGCCTGGTCATCCTCTAAGCGTCTGCTCCCTGTTCAGACAGGGCTCCCTGTTGCCTGGTAAATCCCGCCCACCAGGTGGCCTCCCAGTGTGTCAGCCTGTCCGGCAGCCACGCCTACACCAGCCCTGGGTCTGTTAACTGCACCTCTTCCTGACCTAACTCTACGCTTGCACATCCAGTCTCCTGTACAAACCCACTGCCCTGGGCCTGGCCCCCACTGGACACGTACCGGGCACCTCCCCCCAAGCCTCTGTCTGTCCTGGCATCTCCCCACCTGCCTGGGTTGGCATTCTGCCGCGTGTCCTGCCAGCCCGACTCGGCATCCCTCCCAGCGGCTGGGCTGGCTTTGTGACGGCACTTGCACGTCTCAAGCTCACCCCGGTGGACTCCGCATTTGCTGTGCCCTTTGTGACAGCGAAGGTAAGGGAGACAGGTATTTCTGGAAGGGCCTTGCTGTGTTCAAATCCTGCCCCAGCCTCCTAACCAAATGGGACACCCAGTGTGTTCAAGCACCCTCAGGAGAGCGGTCGCACTGCAGTCCCTTCTCCTCACTCCATCCTTGCAGGGTGTGGCACACACACGTGCCCACGCTGCTCAGTCCAGGACTTGAACTGTGGGACCCAGCCACCGTAAGCACCACTCGACCATGGCCAGAGTCTGGTTTTAATGTCTGTGTAGAACTTCTGAGGACTGGGCAACTCTGAGTGGTTGTCACCACGGGCCGGCGGGGAGGCTTTCCCAGCTATGTCCCCACCGAGGCACCCTGCACACCACCACCAGGGCCCCACACTGGTGCGAAGGCTGCGTCGGGTGGGAGTGTCCTTGGGACTCGGTGCAGTCCCCGCTGCAGAAGTCCGAGGGGACGGGGGAGAGGACACTGTCTCCCTGTCGTGGAGAGTGCCTGTGGCAAGGCAGCAGCAGTGACAGCAGCAGTGGCCGGGCGACCCCAGCTTCAGGTCGACATCCAGTTTTCCCGAATCCCCAGAGGCCCGGCTCCTGGCCCCAGGGGCTGCGGGTGGTTCCCGGTGACATTCCTCCACAGGGAGACCCCCGGGGCTGCTGACCCTAGGCCTGTGCCGCCTGACCGCAGCCCTTCTCTGCACACAGGCAGTTGGCCTGCCCGAAGGGGCATCTGGAGACGTGTGGGCAGGCACGGGGACCAAGCAGGGCTCGGTCCCAGCCCACGGGTGGCCCGCAGCTCTCGTGAGAGAGTGGACGCTGGCCTGGATTGCAACTGCCGAATGGAGCCCGCACAGATGGGCGGGGGGCCTCAGCCGAGACTGCGCTTCCTGAAGGCCCCCTGGTTCCGGCCCACAGGTCTCTGTGGCAGGCATGGAGGCCAGGCAGGCCAGTTTCCGCTCCTCCACCCCAGCTGCCACTGCAAGGACAGCCTCCGAGGCTCCCTCCCGGCGTCCCTGAGGGTTGTGGTCTGGGACTGCAGTCCAGACAGAGGGGGTCATGACCCTTTGGGGGCCGTCTAGCTAAGGGACCTGCTGACCCAGGCAGGGCAGAGTGGCACCTGCTGTGTGTGGCCGGTGCCGAGTGCTGGGATGGGGCGGGGTGTCCACCCAGACCCACTCCTCCCTTCCTCTTTCTCTTCGATTCCCATCAGCTTTTATTCCCTGGCTACAGAAGGGGCACATATTCATCGTAGAAAAGCCGGGACCCCCAGGAAAGTGCGTAACAGACATCCCAAAAGTCCGTGTCAGTCAAGACACCCAGTCGCTCATCTGCCCAGCCTCCTGACGGCACTCATGCCGCCGACGTCCAGACCTCCTCCTCACCTCGCCCTCGAGTGCCCTGGCCACACTCCACTCCTCGGAGCAGGCGTGCTCACTCTGACTGCAGCTAGCGAGAAGCCACGGTGCCATGCGGGGCCGCACAGGGTCGGGACCCCACTCCGTGTGGGGAGGGGCTCTTACCTGTCTGTTCGGAGCTTTTGAGTGTCAGCTCATATGTTAAATCTAGAAGGGAAATCGCAGACATTAATGTCGTCGCAGTGCCTTTCAAAACCTTAATCAGCTCTAACAGCACAGAACAGATTCCCATGACCGGCTGGCGAGTCCTGCCCGGTCCGAGGGGGCATGAGAATAGCAGAAAATGCCGGCGGCCACTGTACTTACTAGGGTACGAGGGAACCCTCCTTTCCCCCAAAAGCCCTCTTCCGCATGCCCCCCAAACACAGCCCAACACTGTGAGTCAGCGAGCAGCCTGCTCTGCATACCCCACAGGCTGCACTGGGCGCTGCCCCCACGCACAGCAGCTCTGCCCGCCCTGGTTCAGTCTCAGCCCTCGGCCTCCCAGCTTTCTGCTCGGTGCCTTCTGACTACGCAAGGAGGATGCCGCGAGCACCCACATGGCGCCCGGCCGCTCTGGTCAGGCCCTGCCAGCGGCAGGTACCTGTGCAGTGCTGCTGCAGCCGCCGGATCTCCGCGTGCAGCCCCTTGAGCGTGCTGGCGTGCTCCCGCTGCAGGAACAGGAGGTTCTTCTGGGCGCTGTGCAGCTGGTTCTCCAGGTTCGTGGCCGCCATGCTGACATCCAGGGGACCTGCGGGAAACGCGGACCCTAGTCCTGTGCCCAACAGCCAAGGTCAGGGCCAGCTGGGAGAGGAGCTGCCTGCTGCCTGCCCTCCTCGGCCCTGGGTGCAGGGTGCACGCCCCCAGGAGACCCAGCCTGGAGGGAGGAGGTCCGGAGGACCAGGGCTAATTCAAATCACCACAGCGAGGTTCCCGTGCAGCAACTGACGCTAACTAAGCACCTAGTATGTGCCTGGGGCTCAGCGTGCACGTACCAACACTGTCACTTCCCTTGCCTGGTGAGGAGCCTGGGGGTGTCGCTCGGCCGGCACACGTGGGCAGGGGCTCAGATCACTCTCCTCTCCCACGCCACCCACCCTCGACACGCCAGGGTGGAGCAGAGTTACCCCTGTGCGGTCCCCCAGCAGAGGCCCTGCAATTCTCCCTTACTTGCTCATTCAAGGGTAGCCCGGCCTGGCCGCTGGCCGTCCAACCCCTTCTGCCTTCAGCTGCAGATAATGGGGTTCCAAGTGACCATCACTTCCAGGGCTGCCTCACCCAGGGAACTCCAGCAGAGGCAGTGGGCGTGGGCATGGGGAAGATGAGCCCTGCAGGGTGGGTGGCCCTGGTCACCAGGTGAGCAGTTAACACGCGCGTTTGTGTCTTGTGGTCAGTCGTTAGGTCCGACTGCCTGCTGATTTTCAGTTCACTCTCCACGATCAGAGAATCAGCGCTGCGAAGGGGCCTTCCACTCAGAATTCTGCACAGGTGACAGCCCTGCAGATGGGCGGGGCTGCCTCCATGTGGTGGGGACTGCCAGGGTTTCCTGGTGATCAGATGCCTGCAACCTTGGGGGGAGGGCACTGGAGGATCAAGGCACCCCCTCACTGAGCTGCTTTCTCAGGGCAAGAGGATGACCTGCAGGTGGAGTCCAACTCGCTCTGCCCTGGACACTGTCCCTGCACCCAGGGCACTGCTGTGACAACATGGCTCACTTGGGCCGTCTCTGTGTGAGCACGATGTTCTCCTGTCTCCTCTCTTTCGCTCTCACCACTCTCCTCTGCGGAGAAAACCCCACTGGGAAGGAAAATGTGAGCCAAGAAGGGCATCTGACCCTGCGGCCTCTCCCGGGTTCTGGGGGTCAGGGCCCTGGGAGCTGGCGGAGATGAAACGTCGTGCAGAACTTCAGGTACTTTCCTGACTGTGAGCGCTGGCTCTCTAACACTCTGAAATGAACGTGCTGCCTGCAGTCGTCCCGGCCCTGGGCCCGGGCCCTGGAGAAGGCGGCCGAGGCCTGCAGCTGCCGGCCCTGGACCAGCACTGCACAGGGGGCAGGGTGAGGGGCTCTCCACACCACATCAGCCCCGATTGCCCCTGACAAGGCACAGCCGGGTCACGCGGCAGAGGGCGCTAAGCCTTCTTTAGTACCGGCAGATTCTCCAGGAAGGCGGTGGGGCAGGCTGGCTCGGAGAAGAAGTAGGTGTCCCGTTGGAAGCACGTGTGTCCCGATCCCTGGGATCCCGGCAGGTGCCCTGTCCAGGGGCACTTCCACCTCTTCTCCAAGACCAGGCTGGCAGGAGCCGTCTAGGGTCCAAGTCAGCTCTCAGGTGGTTACTAGGCAGAAAGCAGCCACCAACTGCCAGAAATCGCTCTGATGTGATGTTACAGGGGAGGCACCAAAGCCAGCTTTGTCTCTCCCCTTTTCAAAAGCCCCCTTTCCTTCAGGGTCTCTGCACGCACGCAGACCTCACTCCAGCTCTGCTCTCGTCAGAGCACCACCCGACCCTGCCATGTCCCTCCAGCGCTCTTGGGACAAGTCCCACAGCCTGAGGTCCTGCCTGATCAGCTGTCCCTCCCCACCCTTGTCCCACCAGCCGCCCTTCCAGGCCCTGTCCTCTCAGCCCCGGTCCTCAGCATCTGCCACACTCCTCCCAACCCCGGTGCCTTTGTGCATCCCGCCCTCTAGAACTCTCAGCACAGACCACCTCCCCACCCCTCAGCCAAGCACCTTCCCCTCCTCCCTCCCATCTGAACCTACATCTGCACTTCCGATAACGTCACACTGCTTCCTGATGGGACGGGGGACGGGGCCTGAACCCACACTGCACGGCTTTAACCCTGCAGGTAACGTCACACTGCCTTATCATGGGACAGGGGTCTGAATCCGTGCAGCACTGCATCAACCCTGCAGGTAACGTCACACTGCTTCATGACGGGACAGGGGATGGGGCCTGAACCCGCGCTGCACTGCATCAACCCTGCAGGTAACTTCACACTGCTTCATGACGGGACGGGGGTCTGAACCCACACTGCACTGCATCAACCCTGCAGGTAACATCACACTGCTTCCTGCCGGGCTGGGGGGATGGGGCCTGAACCCGCACTGCACTGCATCAACCCTGCAGGTAACGTCACACTGCTTCCTGCGGGTTGGTTGGAGGGGTCTGAACCCGCACTGCACTGCACTGATCAGGGAGCACTGCCCCACTGATTTGAGCATGACCTCATCCCGTAATTTCTCAACATGCCAGAAGCAATATTTTCAAGTCTTCCGGAACCACATTTGTTAGACTGACAGGAATGGAATAAAAGGGTCTCTATTTAAAAATTTCTTTGTTCCTGGGCAATCAAAGGCAGGCCTATCTTTTAGCTGAACACAAAGCCTTTGGAACTAGGGTAATAATTTTAGAATCTGAAAAAAACAAAAAAACAAACAAAAAACCCCCAAAAACCAGCACACCCGTACTCAGGTGGTGGCTGCGAATTAGTTAGGGCAGGCTATTTTAGATCTCGGTCATGAATAAGTGATAGCCCATTCACATGTGGTTCTCTCTGCCCAGAGCCCTGAGCCAGAGCCCTGCCTCCCTCTCGGCGCTTTCTGAAAGGGCCCTCCACCTCCGCCGCGCCTGCCCTCTGAGCACCGCTGGGGGCTCCTTCCTGGGGACGCTGTGCCCAGCTCCAGTGTCCTGTAGTGCAAGCACTGCTCAAGGTCGTGGAGGTGGCCAGGGGCAAAGGCAGCCACTGCTGTGGTTACACGTCACTTAGTCGTCCTCTTAGTTTCCTACGTAGATTCGGGGACCCAGAGGAAGCCGAAGGTGGAAGAAACTTCCCAACCTCTCTGTGTTGAGATAAGGAAATTGAGACCAAAGGAGGATCGTCTTAACACAGCGGAATTTAAAAGAGCAGAGTGGACACATTCTCAAGGCGCTCGACTGACAGGTTAAACGTGGACCCCACTGCGTCACCTAAATCGTCGTGAAGACTAACCCGCAGGGTTGCGTCAGGGCCACGTGTGACGAGGGGAGTGCAGCCCATGGCAGGCGCTCAGTAAGCACTAGCTATATGGTCTGTGTAAACACTGGGCGCTAACCCTATAAATAAACCCCCAGCTTGTCCACTGAGCCCTCACAGGGCACTTCCTGGACGTCCTCAGTATGGAGGTGAGCTAGCAAATTCCAGTCACTTCCAGAGAGAGACGTGAAGCTGAGAAATGCTCTGGCAGCTTTACCCTCCATTCTCACTGGCGCGGAGCCACTCGGGGAAGTGAGAGAGAGCCAAGCGCAGCCAAGTGCCCCGAGGGACAGTGGAACCTACTTCTTCTTTGAAACAATCCATACCTTTCTACCAGTGGCTAAAAACAGGTCCAAGGCTAATTAGGACACCGAGTCAATCCAAGACACCTGCTTTCTCTAACGGGGCCTGGCTGGCTCGGGACATGAGTGCCGGTGCTATTCTGAACTGACAAGAACGGGGCCAGAGAGCCTGTTTTAAGCTGTACTTGCACTTCAGAAATTCAACTAGGAAGTCATTTGAAAATTTGAAAATGTAGATGATTTACAGCGGCGGGACAGAGAATATCGCTCTGAGTACTCCACAATTACTGCAGAACTCACAGCTGAGTATAAAGAGGGAATGCCATTACAAAGTAGAAGCGAAGAATGTTGAAAGCCAGAGGTGCAATTCTTTTTAAGGAAAAAAAGGGACATTACTACTTCATAGGCAGAAAAGAAGTATAAAGTGATTTCCCTTTAAAAAATAACTAAATAGTCACTAACAAAGTGGTATCACATTTTCTTAAAAGAGATTTTTGCTATAGGGCATGTGGAGTTGCTAGACAGATAGACAGACAGAAAGTGAGAAATCATCCCCGGGAGGATGGCCATGCTGCAGTCCCTTCTCCTCCATTCCCTTCTTGGGATCTTAGGCACGCACACTCACACACGTGGCTGGTGTGAGTTTTAAAGCTGCCGAGCCTGAGCCTTGAACCATAGTCGACTACGTGGAAGTCCAGTGATGTAACCATTACGCCATCTGCTGGTCCCAGTATCCCGTATTTTAATACTGTTCCAGGATAATCTTGGACTGCAAAGATGGATTAGTTTACCAGCACCAAGGAGAGTTAGTGGAAAGACAATTTTTACAAAAGCAACAGCTTAGTGTCCCCGGGATATGCAGACAATGACAATGACGAGCACTTGGGTCCTTCCTAACCCCCCACACGTTACACATTCCTGCAGTTCTCGGACATCATAAAGTACAAGCCCAGCAAGAATTCTTCAGACACGGACAGCCACTTCCTTCTGCAGGAACGTGCAGCCTAGCGTCAACACCGTAACAGACGTGATTGGAGAGGTTGGCACTTAGGCATGGAGAGATGGTGCACAGCCTGTCTGGGAGGCCTCGATCACTGGAGGCCTACAC